CATTTTTCAAATCAGCACTCTTATTTGTTTAAGTTCTGTATCCATTTGTAACTTACTTATTGACTTGCCTACGTAAAACTATGGATTGTTTCTACAAGAAGAGAATAAATCGCAAAACTAGTTTCATGTCCATTTCTGTTCGTTTACTATTCTTAAAAAAGCTAAAGTTGTCCCTGTACTTAACCAATTAAGCACTACGACATCAAGGTGTATGGGGGGGGTGGATGTATAGGTCCACATTTTCTTGATGTCAGCACTAGTTGAAGGTGAGTGGTCAGCTTCATGCCCCTGACGCTTTATCCCCGGGGGAAGAGCCCCTGGTACCCATTGGCTAGGAGGTTGGGTGAACCTCAGGGCCGGTCTGGACGATGTGTAGAAGAGAAAATTCTTGACCCTACCGGGACTCGAACTCGTCAGCCTGTAGCCAGTCGCTATACTGACTATGCTATCCCGGCTCCTCACGTCCAGCCCGTAGCCAGTCGCTATACTGACTGCGCTATCCCGGCTCCTCACGTCCAGCCCGTAGCCAGTCGCTATACTTACTGCGCTATCTCGGCTCCTCACGTTTAGTATTCTTAATACCGTTAAACTGGAGAAAATGCACTGAGAAATTTGGCCCAAAGTTTAAGGCTTTGCCTACGGAAGGTGATCTGGTCGAATCTTGACTGGGATACAGTCATGACTGAGTCTTTCTTTTTCATGATTTTACTTTTCAGTTCATTAGTATCATCCAAAAACTGGACTCCTGTACAGCCTGACTTACTGACAGCATCGTAAAATAAGCAACAAATATCATATCTGGAAAGAAGAATGTGTGTCCTTTATATTGTGACATGACGCCTGAAAGCCGGAATAGTAGAGCCATAGTAGACGTTCATTGATAGGCAACGACTCGGTAAACAGGTTCGGTCGGCAACGAATACGTAAGCAACAATCGAAGTATAATTAAGTTACAATGATGGAAACGGTATTTTCTGTTGTATAAGACCCGATGCCTTATAAGAGGTTCCAAGGCCGGCAGAGGATATGAATTGAGGGAGTGTCCTGAGACTGCTGTCGAAGATGGTTGAGAAGAGCTGCCAACGGGTTCAGTTAAGAGTTGAAAGTCCGGCTGTGAAGAAAAACCTTATATTTGCTGTAGTTTGGAGTGTGCTATTCAGTGAGACTGTTATAGTTTCTGTTTTAAAATCCGTTGCCAGGAAACGGCTAGTGGAGCCAGTAATAGACTGAAGAAAGACACTAGTGGTTGTAATAGTGAATTGTAAAGTGTGGATATTAGCAGTAGCGCTGTAGTTACCTGTAGTTACGAGTTGTGTGTATAAGTGGTCAATAAATCCAATCCTCCAATCTAAACCCCGTCTAATAGTCACTCCTACGCGTGACAGTATATTTTCACACCGTTGCACCTATGTCAACCAAATGTGGCACGACAGAGGACAGCTCTGGAGAAGTGTCTGAGGACAAAACCCCCAATTTTTTTATTATAGTTCAAGAATCATTCATTCTATTGCACAAATTTATATATATTTTTTGCATTCGTTAGAGCTTAGAAAAAAATAGATCCCTGCTCGTTTACTGTATATGACTATCACTTATAGAGATATTGAATTTACAGTTGTGGTGGCCTCATGGTAATCAAAATGTAGGGGCCTCTATCAATAACAACAAATTTAGGTTATGACAGTTTTTTCGACTTCGGATCACAAGTATCCTGCTGGAAGTTACCCACCCCGAAAAGTAGTCGCGTTCTTCGGACCCGCTTCTTGAAGTTCTCTTCTGAATTCCGACATAACGTTATTTAGTTCTGAATTACAAACTCTTCTGTATATCGCAGTCGGTATAGCGACTTGCTACGGGATGGACGACCTAGGGGTCGGATTTCGAGTCCCGCTAGGGTCAAGAATTTTCACTTCTCAAAGACGTGCAAACCGTCTCTGGGGCCCACCCAGCCTCCTATCTAATGGGTACCAGCGGATCATTCCCCGGAGGTAGTTAGTTATTTAGAGAGGGTGCGTTTCCCCATGCACCGCGACCAGTTTGATCTATTGTGCTTCCCTCTATGATATCCTACCAGTCTCTATACCCTACCGATAATGGTGCGTGCCATCAGTCCCGCCGAGCAAGCGAGTTCGGCCACTTGCTTAGCGGTGTCTATAATGCTTCCCCCATCTATCGGAGGCCTTAGAGACTATTGTTGGGCGGGAAACGTCCTGGAATTTTGGCTCAGTAATCCCCTTTGGGGATATGAGGTTCTTTTACGTGCCGTAAAGTTACGACACGGGACACACAGCTTAAAGACCCTCCCGGAGGACTTGTTCCCTGAATTTTTCCGCCCTTAAAAATTCGACGACCTCCGCCGGGTATTTGAACCCGCGTACCACGAGTCATAAGGTGGGAACTTTACCTCTAGACTACGGAGGCCGCTTTCCCCGGAGGTAACTCGGTCGGGGTGTGAAGCTAACCACGAATTCCACTCAAGGTATGGATGTTTAGTTTGTGTGTGTTTTTCTGCGTTTGTGTACAGGTAGAGGCCTTGCGACGAGCTGATCACCCGCCCAAGGGGTTCTACCGAATGTGTAAGATCTAGAAAATCCGAAGTGAACGGAGAAGTAGGCCTATGCCCACTGGGGCTGTAGTGCCAAGGAAAAAATACCGAACATGAAGCTGACTGTTGCGATAAATTAGCGTTGCACAGAACATGGATATACTCTAAATGCTTATGCTTAAGCTTATCTTTGCTTATTTTCTCGTCTGCTTCTTTAATTTATGTAACTGTGGTTATTTTCTTACATCCAGTTTTCCCTTTTGATATATCCTTCCACTTTTCCAGAGATATTTCTTTATCTGTGCGTCTTGTTTATATTTTAAATATCGTTTACTGCTCTATAAGTTCAAGGTTTCGGTTTCATAACGTAAGATACAGGCCGGAGCTACTAGTAACAACCAGCGATATTCGCTATCGTGTTGCCTCGTATGTTCACATCAAGGAAACGAAAACCTTAGATAGTTTATGAAGAAATCGGTGAATGAAATGGTCATTGTATATGTTTCGGAAAACGCGAAATCGCAAGAGGTAAATTAGACTCTGTGCTTAATTAATTAAGCACAACGCAATCAACACACATGGAGGAGTGAAGGTACAGCTCCACTATTATTGACCTCGACACTAGATGGAAGTGAGATTCATGACCAGGCTGCCTTTCCCCCTTGGGAAGACTCCCAGTAGCCGATGTTTAGGAGGCTGATTGGGTCCGAGAGCCGGTCTGGACGTTGTGAAGTAGGGAAAAAATATCATGCCTCTGCCGGAAATCGAACCCCGGCCATCCAGCCCGTAGCCCGTCGCTATATGGACTGAGCTAACCCTGTGAAATCGCAAAAAGAGAGGTTAAGTTTTGTATTTCAGCATCCTGTTGCATTGATGTGACTATTTACACGCTTCCGTTTTCAATGCTACTTTGTTTATAGCTACTCCTTAACTTGGGCCGCGCCCTAGCTCAAGCGGTTAGTCGCTGGCTTCCCACCGCGGCGGCTCGGGTTCGATCCCGGGTCTGGTCTAGTGGCATTTGTGGTGGACAAAGTGACGCTGGGTCAGATTTTCTCCGAGCACTTCGGTTTCCCCTGCCAATCTTCATTCCACAAATTGCTCCACAATCACCCTCACCTATCATCTGGGGCTGGTACAATAGGCCAGAAGTGGCCGCAGTACAAGGGACTTAGTCCCACCGCAGTAGCAATAAAAAATACTCCTTAACTTAAATTAATATTATTCTTAAAATTAAACTGCTACATGTTTGGACCATACTTGGCCATCCTCAGGCAACAGCTCACTTGCTGAAACCGCTACAGTGCAGTAGTTCTTAAGTTAAAATATTCTAATGTTATTCCATTTTCGTCGTTCACTCATCAACATACTAACAAAGTGACATACACTGGACTAGAGCAACTGCGTGGGAAGATGCATACTAATAGGGCACATAAGAA